GTAGGTGTTGTCTGTTCAGGATATACATGATGGTTTTGTCTGTTCAGGATATACATGTAGGTGTTGTCTGTTCAGGATATACATGTAGGTTTTGTTTGTTCAGATTATACATTGAGGTGTTGTCTGTTTAGGATATACATGTTGGCTTTGTCTGTTCAGGATATACATGTAGGTGTTGTCTGTTCAGGATATACATGTTGGTTTTGTCTGTTTAGGATGTACATGTAGGTGTTGTCTGTTCAGGATATACATGTTGGTTTTGTCTGTTCAGGATATACATGTAGGTTTTGTCTGGTCAGGATATACATATTGATTTTGTCTGTTCAGGATATACATGTAGGTTTTGTTTGTTCAGGATATACATGTAGGTGTTGTCTGTTTAGGATATACATGTTGGTTTTTGTCTGTTCAGGATATACATGTAGGTGTTGTCTGTTTAGGATATACATGTTGGTTTTGTCTGGTCAGGATATACATGTTTGTTTTGTCTGTTCAGGATATTCATGTAGGTGTTGTCTGTTTAGGATATACATGTTGGTTTTGTCTGTTCAGGATATACATGTTGATTTTGTCTGTTCAGGATATACATGTAGGTTTTGTTTGTTCAGGATATACATGTAGGTGTTGTCTGTTTATGATATACATGTTGGTTTTGTCTGTTCAGGATATGCATGTAGGTGTTGACTGTTCAGGATATACAGGTATGTGTTGTCTGTTCAGGATATACATGTAGGTGTTGTCTGTTTAGGATATACATGTTGGTTTTGTCTGTTCAGGATATACATGTTGGTTATGTCTGTTCAGGATATACATGTTGGTTTTGTCTGTTCAGATTATACCTTATGGTGTTGTCTGTTTAGGATATACATGTTGGTTTTGTCTGTTCAGGATATACATGTAGGTGTTGTCTGTTCAGGATATACATGTTGGTTTTGTCTGTTTAGGATGTACATGTAGGTGTTGTCTGTTCAGGATATACATGTTGGTTTTGTCTGTTCAGGATATACATGTTGGTTATGTCTTTTTAGGATATCCATGTTGGTTTTGTCTGTTCAGGATATACATGTAGGTGTTGTCTGTTCAGGATATACATGTTGGTTTTGTTTGTTCAGGATATACATGTAGGTGTTGTCTGTTTAGGATATACATGTTGGTTTTGTCTGGTCAGGATATACATGTTGGTTTTGTCTGTTCAGGATATACATGTAGGTTTTGTTTGTTCAGGATATACATGTAGGTGTTGTCTGTTTAGGATATACATGTTGGTTTTGTCTGTTCAGGATATACATGTAGGTTTTGACTGTTCAGGATATACAGGTATGTGTTGTCTGTTCAGGATGTACATGTAGCTGTTGTCTGTTTAGGATATACATGTTGGTTATGTCTGTTCAGGATATACATGTTGGTTTTGTCTGTTCAGATTATACCTTGTGGTGTTGTCTGTTTAGGATATACATGTTGGTTTTGTCTGTTCAGGATATACATGTAGGTGTTGTCTGTTCAGGATATACATGTTGGTTTTGTCTGTTCAGGATGTACATGTAGGTGTTGTCTGTTCAGGATATACATGATGGTTTTGTCTGTTCAGGATATACATGTAGGTGTTGTCTGTTCAGGATATACATGTAGGTTTTGTTTGTTCAGATTATACATTGAGGTGTTGTCTGTTTAGGATATACATGTTGGTTTTGTCTGTTCAGGATATACATGTAGGTGTTGTCTGTTCAGGATATACATGTTGGTTTTGTCTGTTTAGGATGTACATGTAGGTGTTGTCTGTTCAGGATATACATGTTGGTTTTGTCTGTTCAGGATATACATGTAGGTTTTGTCTGTTCAGGATATACATATTGATTTTGTCTGTTCAGGATATACATGTAGGTTTTGTTTGTTCAGGATATACATGTAGGTGTTGTCTGTTTAGGATATACATGTTGGTTTTGTCTGTTCAGGATATACATGTAGGTGTTGTCTGTTTAGGATATACATGTTGGTTTTGTCTGGTCAGGATATACATGTTGGTTTTGTCTGTTCAGGATATACATGTAGGTTTTGTTTGTTCAGGATATACATGTTGGTTTTGTCTGTTCAGGATATTCATGTAGGTGTTGTCTGTTTAGGATATACATGTTGGTTTTGTCTGTTCAGGATATACATGTTGATTTTGTCTGTTCAGGATATACATGTAGGTTTTGTTTGTTCAGGATATACATGTAGGTGTTGTCTGTTTAGGATATACATGTTGGTTTTGTCTGTTCAGGATATGCATGTAGGTGTTGACTGTTCAGGATATACAGGTATGTGTTGTCTGTTCAGGATATACATGTAGGTGTTGTCTGTTTAGGATATACATGTTGGTTTTGTCTGTTCAGGATATACATGTTGGTTATGTCTGTTCAGGATATACATGTTGGTTTTGTCTGTTCAGATTATACCTTATGGTGTTGTCTGTTTAGGATATACATGTTGGTTTTGTCTGTTCAGGATATACATGTAGGTGTTGTCTGTTCAGGATATACATGTTGGTTTTGTCTGTTTAGGATGTACATGTAGGTGTTGTCTGTTCAGGATATACATGTTGGTTTTGTCTGTTCAGGATATACATGTAGGTTTTGTTTGTTCAGATTATACCTTGTGGTGTTGTCTGTTTATGATATACATGTTGGTTTTGTCTGTTCAGGATATACATGTAGGTGTTGTCTGTTCAGGATATACATGTTGGTTATGTCTGTTCAGGATATACATGTTGGTTTTGTCTGTTCAGGATATACCTGTTGGTTATGTCTGTTTAGGATATACATGTTGGTTTTGTCTGTTCAGGATATACATGTAGGTGTTGTCTGTTCAGGATATACATGTTGGTTTTGTCTGTTCAGGATATACATGTAGGTGTTGTCTGTTCAGGATATACATGTTGGTTTTGTCTGTTCAAGATGTACATGTAGGTGTTGTCTGTTCAGGATATACATGATGGTTTTGTCTGTGTAGGATATACATGTAGGTGTTGTCTGTTCAGGATATACATGTTGGTTATGTCTGTTCAGGATATACATGTTGGTTTTGTCTGTTCAGGATATACATGTTGGTTATGTCTGTTTAGGATATACATGTTGGTTTTGTCTGTTCAGGATATACATGTAGGGGTTGTCTGTTCAGGATTTACATGTTGGTTTTATCTGTTCAGGATATACATGTAGGTGTTGTCTGTTTAGGATATACATGTTGGTGTTGTCTGGTCAGGATATACATGTTGGTTTTGTCTGTTCAGGATATACATGTAGGTTTTGTTTGTTCAGGATATACATGTAGGTGTTGTCTGTTTAGGATATACATGTTGGTTTTGTCTGTTCAGGATATACATGTAGGTGTTGACTGTTCAGGATATACAGGTATGTGTTGTCTGTTCAGGATATACATGTAGGTGTTGTCTGTTTAGGATATACATGTTGGTTTTGTCTGTTCAGGATATACATATTGGTTATGTCTGTTCAGGATATACATGTTGGTTTTGTCTGTTCAGGATATACATGTTGGTTATGTCTGTTCAGGATATACATGTTGGTTTTGTCTGTTCAGGATATACATGTAGGTTTTGTCTGTTCAGGATATACATATTGGTTTTGTCTGTTCAGGATATACATGTTGGTTTTGTCTGTTCAGGATATACATGTAGGTGTTGTCTGTTCAGGATATACATGTTGGTTTTGTCTGTTCAAGATATACATGTAGGTGTTGTCTGTTTAGGATATACATGTTAGTTTTGTCTGTTTGGGGAATACATGTTGGTTTTGTCTGTTCAGGATATACATGTAGGTTTTGTCTGTTCAGGATATACATTTAGGTTTTGTCTGTTCATGATATACATGTAGGTGTTGTCTGTTTAGGATATTCAGGTAGGTGTTGTCTGTTCAGGATATACAGGTTGATGTTGTCTGTCCAGGATATACAGGCTGGTGTTGTCTGTTCAGAATATGCAGGGAAGTGTTGTCTGATCAGAATATGCAGGAAAGTGTTGTCTGTTCAGGATATACAGGTTGATGATGTTTGTTCTGGATATACAGATTGATGTTGTCTGTTCAGGATATTCAGGTAGGTGTTGTCTGTTCAGGATATACAGGTTAGTGTTGTCTGTTCAGGATATACAGGGCTGATGTTGTTTGTTCAGGATATACAGGTTGGTGTTGTCTGTTCAGGATATACAGGTTGGTGTTGTCTGTTCAGGATACCCAGGTTGGTGTTGTCTGTTCAGGATATTTAGGTAGGTGTTGTCTGTTCTGGATATACAGGTAGGTGTTGTCTGTTCACGGTATACAGGTAGGTGTCGTCTTTATAGGATATACAGGTTGGTGTTTTCTAGAAAATGTATCCTCATCCAAACATCTCTGATGAGACAGATGAGGAGCATTATTAATTTTAACAATGTTTGTCTTACAAACTGGTATGCAGCCCAAATAGCATGAATAGTGAAAGAACTCCTCATTGTTCATAAAGTGGATTGTTTTGAAAATCACTAAACTGTGAAGTAAGCATGTGCAGGGGGAAAAGTAGTGAAATGTCAACTTTATCTTGAGAAGCCTGACGACAATTGATGTATAATGTGTTATTATGAAATTATATAAATTTGTCTTTTTTATTGCATTGGAAGGTTTTAGATTTGTAATAGTTTTACTACTTCCAGATTTCTAATTATCTTGTTTTTGATAAATATTTAAATGGAAACCTCCTGTTGATGCAAAATTGATCAGATGATTTGAAATTACTTGAAGAATGCTGATACATAGTATGATCAGTGAAGCTGATACTCATACAGAAGACCTGCAATGATTATAAGTTTTTCGAAGAAGATGACTTGTCACACGCATTTTTCTTTGACACTAGCTCATCCCAAAGTTACTCAGAGTTTTCTTAAGGTCTTATATCATCTTCTTTTCTTATAAACAGATCAACAATAACTAATTTAATCATTTTAATAGAATTTTGTTGGTTAAAAATGTCTGTACTTCTAGCAATATTTCAAATCATTGTTGATAAAAAAAATCAATTGCAGAGGGTGATAAAATGTAAAAACAAATATTCCAGATATGGAAAATAAACTAGTTGTAAAATACTATCTAAACAGCCCATATCAAAACTAACTATTTCAGAACATTGAAAAAAAAAAACAAAAAAAGAATTGAATTGTATTTAAATAAGAACAAACGAAGAGAAATGTTGACCTTTATATTACAGTGTCCAGTATTTGATTTGGATAAGGATGTAGAATTTTCTGGAACGTACCAGACTGTTACAAAACAAGGAGCCATTACTATAGAGGTTTGTAAACAATTGATTTTGACTAGTCAATTTTGAATAACAGAGACGTTTATTCTAGTTCTAATTATTAATGCTAAGAAGATTTATATTTCAATAAATAAAAATCTTTGTCAAAACGCTGGTAAACTATGAAATGTCATTTAAGCCAATAGGGACTTTTATAGTTGCTTTTTCATGCGTTGCCTCTTCCTTTTTCTAGTGTTATGGTCTATCTTAGACTTTCAGTTAGGTGTGAGTTTTATGCTGTGTGTTGAAGGACTCACTGTGACTATGAGATGAAGAACAGATATAAAAATGCTGTTCTTTTTTTTTTTCAAGAACCAGTGGTGTTTTTGTGTCATAAATTAATATTCAATATCCTTTCTTTTTCATATTTTGCAAAATATATGATAACTTTTTTATTCATTTCACAGTGGATAAGTATTCTGTGTAAAATATGTGCATACATATGAATTAGTTCAGTTAAATATCTGAGCTAAGTACCCCCTCCAAACAAAAAAAATAGTTTATAAATCTGTTTTCTATTTCAGAAAAAGAAGTATACAGAGGAATCTTTTTACATTGTTTTGGTAATGAAACCAAAAGACTATGAATGTAATGGTATAGATGAAATCCAATTACCTGGCGAAGAAAGGACTAAATATTTGACACTTAAAGTATATGGCACCATTAGTAGTAAGTTTGGTTAATGAGAAAGTTATACATGTTATATATAAAGTAATGATGTCTGTTCCAAATATTAACAAAGGGACGGGTGGGAGACAGGCTCAGACCATCATCTGCCATGGTTACATATCTAATGGATCATTATATACATAAACTAAAACTTTCAAAAGTAAAAGCAGTGGGTAGAGGATATCCATATGCTGGCTATTTTACAATATGTTTGTATGAAATTAAAGGAATAAGTAGCAAACTTTGATATCTTTAAACTGCTTTTTTAAAAGCTTCAAATACTTCGTTATCTTTATATCATGTTTATTATAGAAGAAATTTTACCCAAAAGAATGTAAAACATGGTCTAGGTGGCAAAAAGGCAGTATGCAATAATGATTAATACATTTATTTATTTTTTGTCATATTTTGTTATTCTTTAACGAGTATTGTTTTCTTTACTCGTTTGTAGTATTTTTTTGGGATTAATTATGATAAATTTAGATTCGTTTGAAGTCTTTTTTGTTAAAGAAAAAAATATATTCATTAAAGCTTGTGTGCCAGTGCACGCATGCACATTATGTCATACCAAACTAAGAAATTTAGAAGGAGTAACTTTAACTATCCCATTAAGAAAAGGAAGATAGAATTAAGGAAATACATTTGGTTTCTCATAAATTTTGGCTCGTCCTGAACATGCATGAAATGTTTTCCACTGGATGTTAAGCAACCAACAAGCAATCAATCATCAATCATCATAAAATCCAGTATGAAGATTTAAAAAAAAAATGCAATTTTCAAAGCCTTGTATACACATTTTTCAGGTTCTAAGTATTATATTGGTATAGTTGGAGCTCTAGCTATATTTGGTGCTTTCTACCTGATAGCCTTTATAATTGGGATCTGTTATCATGGATGGTAAGTTCTGTGAAAGCTTTTATGATTGGGATCTGGTATCATGGATGGTAAGTTCTGTGAAAGCCTTTATGATTGGGATCTGTTATCATGGATGGTAAGTTCTGTGAAAGCCTTTATGATTGGGATCTGTTATCGTGGATGGTAAGTTCTGTGATAGCCTTTATGATTGGGATCTGTTATCATGGATGGTAAGTTCTGTGATAGCCTTTATGATTGGGATCTGTTATCATGGATGGTAAGTTCTGTGAAAGCTTTTATGATTGGGATCTGGTATCATGGATGGTAAGTTCTGTGAAAGCTTTTATGATTGGGATCTGGTATCATGGATGGTAAGTTCTGTGAAAGCTTTTATGATTGGGATCTGTTATCATGGATGGTAAGTTCTGTGAAAGCTTTTATGATTGGGATCTGGTATCATGGATGGTAAGTTCTGTGAAAGCCTTTATGATTGGGATCTGTTATCATGGATGGTAAGTTCTGTGATAGCCTTTATGATTGGAATCTGTTATCATGGATGGTAAGTTCTGTGAAAGCTTTTATGATTGGAATCTGTTATTTTGGATGGTAAGTTCTGTGAAAGCTTTTATGATTGGAATCTGTTATCATGGATGGTAAGTTCTGTGAAAAAAATATAACGTCAGATGACTTCAACTCTTGAATCTTAGAAAGACTTTGTCATATATCTTTACACCATTAGTATGAGTAAAATTAGTTATATAGAAATTGACAACAAAGAAATAAAAACAAATGAAAATTCCCTGTTCATTTTAAAGAAAACAAATGTTATGGTTTTAGAAGAAATGTTGGATTAGTGCAAATCAGATGCCATAAATAAGTTGCCCCTTGGTAATAAGATAGATTTCAAGTATGACCAAAAAACTGTGAAGCCCTTAGCCTATAAAATACTAAAGTCCACTGCATTATGTCACCTAAAATGTCCTGCAATACAATATAAACAGGAAGAAAAGATTTTGTTTTTAATTTAGTTTTTTACAGATCTGCAAATAACTTTAAACAAATACTTCAAATTTACTTGATATTGGACATGTATGTGTAGTATGCAACATTTTAAAGGATAAACATTATAATGGTCTAAATATTTAACTTTGATATGTAGGGCATAATATTTCCACTAATAAAAACCTTTACACCTTGTTTCCCTATGTATAGGTTTGTTTTTTATTGAAATATGTATTTTAGAGACTTTATGGGCAATGTTTGGAAAATGACATAAGAATATGGCCAAAATTGTCGAAATATATATAAAAATAAGAAAAAGATGGGATACAAATTCAACTTCCTTATATGAAATTGGGTTTTTAAAATATAATTGTAATTATTACCAGCCTTACAAAACTTTAACCTCTGAACTATAGAAATGACATTCATAAATTATTTTTATATTAAATATAGTTATAGATTTTCATTTTTCCTTGTGGCAAAATTATTAGATAATCACTTAATGTTATTAATGTTGAATTTGCATGTGTTGTGTTTGTAGTCAAAAGAATAGAGGTGTTTGGATAATTGAAGAGGAGAAATCAGGTATTTTATTTTTAGTTCGCAAAGATTTTCTTAATATTAACTGAGTTTATAAAATAGGTTTGACATTATAACCTACTATAAGCGTCATGTTGATTTTAAAGCTCTTTACAGACATTTATCATATACTTAGCATTAATATGATAGCTTTTGCATATGTGTAATGAACGGAAGTACACAAGCCATAATTTCCCACCCGGGCTGATAACCCATATCAGGGGCGTCTCGTGCAAAAAACCCATAACAGTGCCTCTCGTGCAAGTTACTTCCGGTATTTCCGGTATCGTATGTTTACTTTTCCATTGTGGCGTCAGATATTTTTTATTATGACGTCAAAATTTTACAGGAACTTTTGGGATGTCCAGTAATGGCGGACAAATAGCGATAAGGTTTATTGGATCCAGTGGTAAATCTGTTTGTACAGAACCAGCTGTTATTGAAAAAAAGATGTTAACATGGCTAAATCTGATGATATAGATTTTCAAAATGATGCTAGTTTACAATTAGTACTTGCTAATAAATGCCATTGACAATTATGAATCATCTCATATAGTACAACATGTAGTAATAATGATCATAAAACTTTAAATACTTCCTCCATGCTTCCAGCTTCCAAATTTTTAATGTTTCACAATGCCTCTATAGGAAATGGTACCATAATATATATGGAGGTAGTGATGCTATTGTTGGACAATTATAGTGTATTTGTTGGATTCATGATTTAACTTCTTTAAAAAGTTTTTGACTGTTTTAGTTATTTCATTTGTTTATTTGCCTTACATAAAACAATTGTCGGAAGTATATGATAAAGAGATTAATACATGGCCTTTTCCATATCGGCCCGGGTATCATCCCTCGACCCATATCAGCACCTCGACTATGTCTCGGGATGATACCCGGGCCGATATGGAAAAGGCCATGTATTAATCTCTATATATTGAATATGGGTTAAACACATATAGAAATATTCTTAACACCCTGATATGATTTCTAAGAATAACATTAACATCAATTAATAAATAAAAAACAAATAAATTGAAATTTTCTAGAAACTGAAGGAGAGACAGAAGATTTGCTTAACAGAGCTAACATATTACCAGGATCATATGGGGCAACTTCAGGTAGGCAACTTTAACATTTTAATTGTGTCATAACAGGAAATGAGACTGATATGATGGACAGATCTTTACATGTGATACAGACACCACATAATACTACTGTTGACACAGATTCTTTATATCTCCTCCCTCTGTTTAACTAATATATTTGTGTCATAACAGGAAATGAGACTGATATGATGGACAGATCTTTACATGAGATACAGACACCACATAATACTACTGTTGACACAGATTCTTTATATCTCCTCCCTCTGTTTAACTAATATATTTGTGTCATAACAGGAAATGAGACTGATATGATGGACAGATCTTTACATGAGATACAGACACCACATAATACTACTGTTGACACAGATTCTTTATATCTCCTCCCTCTGTTTAACTAATATATTTGTGTCATAACAGGAAATGAGACTGATATGATGGACAGATCTTTACATGAGATACAGACACCACATAATACTACTGTTGACACAGATTCTGTAGATTCTAGCATTGATTTCCTGCCTGATGCTGACAAGGAGAAAGATGTCTTCAGGACAAAGGTAAGGATTAACCAAAAAAGCAATATTTTCTATAAGGAGTTGTCCAATGATTTTGGCCTTGTTGACTAAATTGTAGATCTTGTCTTGTTTTTCGTCCAGTGAGCTAAATAAGAAGTTGGGGTATACCCGCAATTGCCAATGAAACAATTATACACCAAATACCAAATGACGTAGATGTCAGCAACTTTAGGTCATCTTACAATGTTCAACTATGAACAAAATCCATACTCTATAGCAACTGTAAAAGGCGGAGGCATATAAAATGTTTAACAATTCAAATTAGAAAACCTGCCACCTGATTCATTCTAAAACAATAAACTGAAAACAAATATGGCTGATGGCAATAACTGCCACTGAATCACAGGCACTTAAAGAATGTAGCAGGTTATATATGCTAATTCTTTGGCAATTTAACCCTATCTAGACCCATTGTTTAAAAAAAATTGATGAACATGTGGTTGCCAATGATCTCAGTAGATGATTGGCTAACTTGAAAGGTCATAACCTTTATCAGCTCTTTGAATGAAAAGAAATGTTCTAACAGGTGTCAAAGAAATTGACATCTATGACATAGAAATCTGGAATGTGGAAGACACTAAAAGGGAATTTTCATTTATCAAACATTAGAGAAACAGATTCTTACATAGTTACTGGTGGATTATGGGATTTATCCAATCTATAGTGAAATTATCGAATTTAACTATCTCAATTGAATAAATCCGATTATCTGCTTGTACCAATGTAAGAATCTATATTTAAAAGCACTCAACCCTTCAAATCTGGACAAATCATATATCTGTACAACCTAAAACACATTTTAAAAATCAATTGGTGCATATTAAATGAAGAAATACAGCAGAGCAGCTATTTCACTTCAAAAATAATATATTATGAAAATTATTCCAACAGTCTGTTAGAATATTTGTACTGTTAATATTTGTTTGGTGAACATATAACACTGTGATTTGTTTTGATACCAATCAGAAAACGATAAAATCAAAAATCTGTAGATCAAAGTTTTTTCCATAAACTATGATTATTGAAATAGAGTGACACACAAAATTGATATGGTAATTTTTTTCTTATTTTGTCAGACTATTTTGTTTGTTGTTGACCTTGCAAGAAAAAGTAGGAAGAGAGTAGCGAAGAGTTACAGTTTATTTTGCAGGTAAAATATTCTTATATAGTGGACTTATTTGGAAAAAGTCTTGATATCTATATAATGTTGATTATGTATTATAGATACAATCAACGCTTATCCATTGTATCTCTAACTTAAACTATTGTGTTTATGTCTTTTTAGAATTAAAGCCTTTTCTTAATTAGGGCTATTCCATTAAAATGTATGTGGGAGGGTAGGAAGGGAAGTTTAATTATTGAATGTGGGTCATGGGTCTTTTTTCAGTATGCGTCTATTACCATTATGCAAAATTATCTAAAAAATGGTTCTTGGTTGTAGGGATATTTTTGAAATTCCCTTCCTACCCTCCCACATACATTTTAATGGAATAGCCCTTAGAAGGTATTGTAAGTGAGTTTAAGTAACCATGTTATCATGTTCAACGATGCAATAATAATTCTTAAGTTCACAATTAATTGGGTAGAGAAATACAAATATAACATACGTCTGTCTTTAAATTATCAGGCACCTGAATATTATCTGTATTTTACAAAATAAGACATATTCGAACTTATTTCTAAGTATATATAATAAGTATGTCATTGAAATTTTTAGCAAGAAGCCTAATTCTAGGCACATCATGATTTACTCACATAGGGATGTGCGAATAAACATTTGTAAAGATATGTAGTAAAACAGATGAAATCATACTATATTTATAAAACAAAAAATGGACAAATTCAATGTATTCATTTTCTTTTCAAATATGTGAAATAGCCAATAATAATCCAAAAATAAATGGGAAAACCCGCTTTCATTATAAAAATATCCACAATAACATACAAAATAAGAAAAATGGAATAACCAAAGAATCAGGACAACAAAGAGAATAAGGGATTCGAACCTTAACCGACAAGTCTTTATATTTAACTTGACTCTTTAACTCATTGATCTTAAGCATGTTAACCTTGCGGCTACCAACTTATACTGTACGATTGCCTATTATGTATCTATAAAGGTACAAGCCCTGTGTGCCCAAGGTACTGATATGTAGCATACCTTTATTTATATATATAAAATAGACACTTAAATTGCAACCCATTGGTAGCCGAGAGGTTTTGTCGATGTGTTAATGTCAGTCACACATAACAGATTTCAAGGAGAGGTTCAATTCCCAGTGAAGGCATATAAAAATTACAAAAAATTAAAGGTAAATTTTTAAATCAATTCTTTAGTGAACAGAAATCAGTAAATTAGCCAATTCGAACTTAATGAAATTAGGCACACAAAGGAAACAATTGAATATAATTTGGTGAGCTCATTTCAGCGACAGATTTAGGAAGCGTTGATTCTAGAAAAAGAATCCATGGTAAATGATTAAGCTGACGTCACGACAATGGTTTAAGTTGTTATAAATTCAGAGGAATATTTTTTTCCATTGGTTAAGATTGACTGTCTTTAAATGAAATGGAGATAAAAATTGCTTTTTCATGCTTAGACTAAAAGCTTAAAAATCTTGCTTAGAAATTAATGAAATATTATTTTAATCTCTGTACTTTTCATAAGTTTTTAGAAAAGTAATACATATTTGTAATATATTTTTTGCAGATTTAAAACAAACCAGATTAGTATTGTTCATACTTTAATTTGTTATGCTTTTATAAACCATTTTATTTTTGCTGATACTTAATCTTGCATTTAGCCCTATTCAGCTGACTTTGAGGTGAATTACTTTCACGATTTTCTGATTTTCTTGATGTATTTATACATGTACAAGGGAAAACCCAAGTTATTCGTGTAGTGATGATTTTTATTCACTTTATTTTTTCTACTTGTGAAAGTCTCAAAATATTAATTGCTCTCGAAAATTAGTTGATTTACAATATAGGGAAAGCTGAACTAATTAAATGCAGACACTAATTTGAAGAAAACAAATATTGAAAATGCATTCAATGTCTTTGCTTACAGAAATTTAGCAGCTATTTCCATTTTCTATGGCCTTGCAGTACTGCAGCTGGTGTTAACATACCAAAAGGTATATAATTATGGACCATTGTCACAACACAAACTTGAAATTGGAAGGATTTTAAGACATGAAAAAAAATCTTCATTCCAAATCAGCTTATTTTAATGCCCCCACCATAGTGTAGGGGGCATTAAGGTTTATCCTTGTCTGTCTGTATGTCCGTACGTACTTCATAAAATTAGTTTCGGTTCCCTAACTGTAATCTTGATACTTTGTCTTAATAACAGAACTTCAAATTGCTTTTTAAGCTAAGCAACTTTAATAAGCTTTCTTGTAATGTTGAGAATTTCATCTTTATGGGCTGTTTTCGAAATTTTGTCCTTACAATATGACAAACAAATAAAGCCAACAAAAATTAGGAAAGAAATTGGTTTTACAATATGAAAAAGGTTGAACACACAGCACGGGTGATACAGAATTCCAAATCTTATTTACATATAACTAATACATAAATCAAATATATATACATGTTGTATTCTCTCTCCTACTTTGTATGGAATATTGATACCAGTAAATGTTTCCTATGGTTTCTCTGTAGGTACTGAATGTAACAGGGAACCAGGATATCTGTTACTATAATTTTGACTGCGCCCATCCATTAGGTGCACTTACATCCTTTAACAATGTATTCAGTAACATAGGATATATTCTACTGGGAATTCTTTTCCTATTTTTGGTGGCCAGAAGGTAAGATAATAAATGAATTTGTATCTGTGGTCTGCATACAAAATCTACATTGTCAATAAAACTCATTATATTGGGTTAAAATTGTACAGTCAACTCAAAAATTGAATTCGATTTGAACCGGAAATATTCTTGTAAAATTAACATCTGTAAACATGCTGGGCAAAACAAAACAAAATCGGTAAATTTCGTAGCAGCAATTATGAAGAACAAGACATTAACTTGGTGTGGACTAACTGAAAGAAATCCTGTAAATTTCACTCCTTACATCATTCTACAATAGGTGTTTTCTAGATGTTGTCAATGACGTTGCATCAAAATCAACTGGGAACACTTACAAAAATATAAAGTTCCTTACATTTTCTACTTTATTTACAAATCAATATTGAAATCTTTATAAAGTATAACATTAAAAGTTATCTGTCATGTAGTCAAATAAAACCTTTTTTATGCCCCTGCCGTAGCAGAGAGGGCATTAAGTTTTACCCTTGTCCGTCTGTACGTTCCAAAATTGTTTCCGTTCTCTAACTTTAGATTGCCTCAACCAAATGTTTTGAAACTTATACGAAATGCTTATTACCACAAAACGCAGATCAAATTTGAAATTGGGTGGCGTCACTTTTACCTTTCTAGAGTTATGCCCCTTTACAAATGGAAAAAATGCTGAATTTTTCATTTCCGTTCTCTTACTTAAGTTTGCCTCAACCAAATGTTATGAATCTTATAATTAATGCTTATTACCACAAAACACAGATGAAGTATGAATTTTGGTGGCGTCACTTTTGCCGATCTAGAGTTATGCCCCTTTACAAATGGAAAAATTGCTGAATTTTCATTTCCGTTCTCTAACTTAAACTTGCCTCAACCAAATGTTATGAATCTTATACACAATGCTTACTACCACAAAACTCAGTTCAAGCACGTCACTTTTACCGTTCTTGAGTTATGTCCCCTTATAATGTTATATGCAATTCGGGGGCAGCATCTTTGTCCCATGGACACATTCCCCATTTATTTTCATAAGGCATTGCTGATTGCAATAGTGTAAAAGAATGTTCAGCTTTGAAATTTATAATATATCATAATTATAAATTCTAAAATTAATGTAAGGTGCTTCTAGACTTTACAATTGCAACTTTGTTGTTATTACAGGGATGTTGTTTATAAAAAGGCTGTACAGAATGATAGAAAAATAGGCAAGGTACGTATGTACATAGATACTGTGAAAATGACAAATATAGGCAGTAAGCTTGTATGTTAAGATTGTTTTACAAGATACAATTTTTAACAAAATTATTTGAAGCATTTGTTTTGTTTGATTTGGAATGTATTTCCTGTTCATTTGTGAGTTAATGATAAATGTTTGCAATTAAATCTGGTGATATCTTGAAAGATGAACAAATTGAAATTAGAATTTCAAAGTGCACACATGAAGCTATGATATTGTGAACTTATGTGGAGATTCCAAAACTTTGGAAAATCATTAGTTCACAACTTTGTAAATACAGAATCAATTGGTGCTACCTCTTTGAGGTGTGCAGATTTAATTAAATTCAATGAGGCAACATTATGATAATAACATCATGATGGATAGGTGTAACATCCAATAGACTATTTTCATATTACCGACTTTTGACTCCGGATTATATAATTTTTCAACAGGTTACCTACTCTATGGTAGGACATCCTGGTACTCTGTCAAGTAAGAGCAACCAAAAGAAGTAAAATCAGACATATAATCGGTGCAATTTCGGGGGAAAGTTAACTGTTCTCTAATGATTTTGTTGTGTATAGAAAACATAAAACAATTAATTTTCCCTCCAAAGTGTACTGATAGTGTGCTTGATTTTACTTCTTTAATTTGCTCTTACTTAACCGAGTACTAGGATGTCCTACTACAGAAAAGGTAACCTGTCGTAAAGATATAAACTCTGGAGACAAAAGTCGGTAATATGAAAATAGTCTATAGCTAGCAAATTACATCCATATTAAGACGAGAACAGGTTAATGTCATATGAAAACAATACAAAGATCTATTTCCTATGCACTTAAGGGAATCACTTTCTATATTTAACACATGAAATTACATGACATCATACTCCTATGAAAATAAAGCTGGTATTAAGTACTTTGACAGAAAGTTACTGTCAACTGTCATATGTGTAAGGTTTGAAATTTGAAGTCAATGAACATTGTTGGCTGTTACTTTTCAGATGGAAACTTCAATAAAAATGAATTAAAAGAGATTTGAGAAATATGTCAATGAGACAGTAACCTAGCAACACAAAAAAAGACAAAATTTTAGAAATGTTATTTAAAATGATTTTAGTATATATATATATATATATATATATATATATATGTGCGTCTGAACCAGTGACAACTCTACAACAGATTTTATCCATCAGATCACCAGTGATCATGATACAAGGCTGAAAACACATTCTGTATACATAATTTGTCTAAATAACAGCCCAACAATGTTAGATCTGTAAATTTGCGGAATCAAATTTTTTTGTTCTTCCCTGGCCGGGATTCGAACTCATGCTACTGAAATATCGTGGCACCAAATGGCCTTGCACTATGATAGATAATTCAGCTGATCTGTAATATTCCATCGTCATGCCTTATATATCATGTACTGTGTTACGACGCTAGATAAAAACTGAAGAGGAAAGGTAAAATCCCGGCCACCGAAAGCTTGATTTTGTCGAGCCTAGGTGGTCGAGTGGTCTAGCACGTCTGGCATAGTGCAAGGCAATTTGGTGCCACGATATCTCAGTAGCATGAGTTCGAATCCCAGCCAGGGAAGAACAAAAAAATTTGCGGAAACAGATCTAACATTGTTGGGCTGTTATTTAGACAAATTATATAAATATGGAATACTTTACTGACTTTTATTTTGGTTTTATTGTTTTCAATCTTATAAGCAATGGAAATCTTTCTTTACTTTTTTATAACCAGTATGAACATTAATGTTTTCTAGGAGTTGGGTATACCACAGCACTTTGGACTGTTTTATGCCATGGGATTAGCTTTAATTATGGAAGGTTTGATGAGTGCTTGCTACCATGTTTGTCCAAATTACTCCAATTTTCAGTTTGGTAATTTTTATTTTACTAAGAAATATGTAAAAGACAATAAAAGGTACTAACCAATACCTTAGTTTTCTTTTTATTTCAAGTTTTTAAACATCTTCTGTATAAACTTAATTTCTAAAATTTATCTTTGAAAGAAAAAATATAAGTTATAGTACAGTTTATACAGAAGATGTTTTGAAACTTGGGAGAAACCAGAAAAACTAAAATGCAATTTAATTTGTATTTAAAAAATCAATTTGCATTTGGGTACTAACTTGGGTAAGAAAATTGGTCTGAAGAGCAAATTTGTTTTTTTTTTGTTTCTTTGCATAATTAAAATTTAACAAAAAAGAAGTGATCATGATAGTGGTAGATTTTTAGTTCCATGTAAAGGCAAGTTAGAAGGAGACTACATATGTAAATGTTGGCACTTCATTTACCCACATATGTCAATGTTGGCACTTCATTTACCCACATATGTCAATGTTGGCACTTCATTTACCCACATATGTCAATGTTGGCACTTCATTTACCAGTCAGTCCATGCATCAAACTTAAGTTTTCCACCATGTGAGCTATTGCCGTCACTTGGTGTCCATAGCTGTAGTTAAGAAAATCTTCTCCTTTGGAACCACTAGACCAAATACAACCAAATTTAGGCTGAATAATTCTTAGGATATCTAGTATAAAGTTTAGTTTTTATTCCTGTCAAACATGGCCGCAATTGATAAAAAAAGAACATAAGGGTAAAATGTATGTAATTCTCTAAAATCTTGAGAACTGTTATCTGTCATTTTTTTGGAGGGGCTGGGGGGAGGGGGCTTATTGTTTTGTCATAAAACTAGCCATTTGGTTTTCTCGATTGAATTTGTTCAAATTTTTTAACATCATTTTGTTTATGCTGCCAGTATGGTATGTGTTTTGCTCATGTTAAATGCTGTAGTAGGATCAATAGTTCAGCAAGATGAGGTTTATAGATAAGTCAACTGACCAAAATTGCCAATAAACTCCTTATAGATGACAGCAGTGCTGATTATGAATAATAAGAATTTAATTTCATAATAATTTGTGCAATATAGCATCATATTTTTTCAACCACTCACTCAACATGGGAAGGAAGTGACGATGCCCCTATTGATGAACGATGATGTTCACTCAAACCAAAGATTTTGACGGAAATGTAACAAACTCGAAAATGGTCAGTTGAATGCTTGTCCATTAAGTGTTAAATCATCAAATTTTTCAGCCATAAGGGTATATCAAATTTCATATACAACACCCTACAAATGCTGGATAAATGTTTTGCTTTTGAGGAAGTTATTGTTCTTAATCAAAATTATAAGGATAAAAAATAAGATTTTGTTGCAGTTTACTGATGTTCAAAGTGGAGTTATAATTTTTAGTTAGTCTATGAACAATTTGGTTGAGTGAAGGAAACTCATTTTGATTTAAGATATTTTTGCTATGTATTACCTGTAATATTATATTTTTATGTCTTTTCTTTGCAGATACATCATTTATGTACATTATTGCCTGTCTATGTATGTTAAAGATTTATCAGTCTAGACATCCAGATGTCAGTGCCAAAGCTCATACTTCTTATATGTTTATGGCCTGTGTTATATTTATTGCTGTGATAGGAGTGGTCAGTAAATATTAAATTATAGATGTTGAGTATACTTCAGTGAGACAGCAATCCAACAACACAATTAAGCTGAGAAAAGGGAAATAAAATATTTTGAAAATAATGTTTAAATAGTTCAACTACAAATAACAGGCAGAAAATTTTCCAAAGGCTGAAATCTCCAACTTTGAAGGTTTAAAAAATAGAAACCTATGAATAGTTAAGTTTCACTATGTATAAAAGGAGATGTCGGGTATACAGCTTTGAGACACAACCTGGCATAAAAATTCAGCATTAGACAACGAAAGGGCAAAATACAGTCTTTGACAATAGACAGGTGTCTATACAATAAGTCAAACTTTAAATAGTTTTAAACCTGTAAAGGTTGTTAATAAATTAACAGAAACAATCAAGATCTTATATCAACACTTTATTCTTCAAATTACAAGGTATTTAAAAGATATAACAACCAGTGACCAGTTTCCTGGTTTGGGACAGGCACATGAATGTTTGCAATTTTTATATGAGTAGCAATCTATTTATTAATCCTGCACTGCATCGGAGGGGGCAAACTGTCTGTCCGTATGTATGTCCCAAAATTAATTTCCATTCTTTTAGCTTATTACCATGAAACACAGATCAAGTTCGAAATTTGGGTGGCATCACATTTACCGTTCTAGAGTTATGCCCCTTTACAAATGGAAAAATTGGTGAATTTTTCGTTTCCGTTCTCTAACTTAAGTTTGCCTCAACCAAATGTTATTCACAATGCTAATTACCACAAAACTCAGATCAAGTTTGAATTTGGGTGGTGTCACTTTTACAGTTCTTCAAGTTTGTCCTTTTATAACATTATATGCAAGCCGGGGCATCATCTGTTTATTTTATTTTAATATTCTTATTTAAGTAAAAAAAAAAAATCTGACCCAATGCAAGATATTTATGAAAGCATGGAGATTTCCATATACTTGATATATGAATGGCACAATATCTTGCTCCTTCTTATTGTATTTATTAATTGCAGTTACATGGAACAGAGGCATTTTGGATAGTGTTTAGTGCCATCTACATGGTGGGAACACTAATAATGAGTGTGTACATATATTACATGGGAAGATGGAAGCTAAATAGAGAAATATTTATACATACATGGATACAGATTAGACAGAATTGTTTTATGTGTCCTCGTCCAATGTACAAGGTTTGTTTTATATTGGTTATTCATTAATATTTGTGTAGTACTAATTTTCATGGGTTTTATAGGTGAACTACACATTTCAGCATTAAAAAAAAATACAAATTTCCAATAGCCTATTTGCAGAAGTTTTCATAACCACAAATTTCTGCATCAACCCAAACAGAATTTTTGCTCATCCACAACATTGTTACCCTAGAAAAATAAATGAATACACAGTATTTACTGTTAGTGGTCTGTTAGTTCCCTAAGGTATCATCTATTCAATGCTTTATATTTCCACATTGATTTATAACATTTTTTTTTTTTTTAAATGCTCAGCTGTAAATTTGTAAATTTTACAAAAACTATGGTTGCAACTCCCTTTGCCAAAGTTGACTTGAGTTATTATGCTACTGTTTGTATGTTACACCATACATGTAGTCGTTTTTGGCTGCCCTAACTCACGGTTCCAAGCTTAGCTGATTTAGGTTACTCCAGAAATGTGCACCACATGCAGCTAAAACCTTTGACTATGATTTGTTGTAAATAAGTATGACAATTTTTAAAAGGGTTAAGAACAGCATATAGTAGCAATGAAATATGTTGATATTTTACTGAGAAATTATGACATTATTTGGTATAACTTTTAAGCTTTTACCTTTAAAGCTGTTCATAAACTTGTAAGAGATTATGCAAATCAAATGCTTCTTAAACAAGTAAGTTAGTTTGATATGCAAATGTTGTGCTTCCCATGTACTTATTCATCTTTTTGTCACACTTTAAAAGTTTGAGTTTTTCTGATGAAGGTAATTCTAGAAAAGTGGTTTAAGCACAAAAAGTCAATACTCTCACTTTTATTATGCATATTCAGAAATCATTGCACAATTTAATGATCTAATTATATATAGAAAAGACTATATGTTGTATATGGGTTTTTTTCAGGACAGATTTATATTCCTTGTGTTAGGTAACAGTATTAACTGGAGTATGTAAGTATATATAAATTATTTAAAATTGTTATACTAAGTGGCCTGGCCATAAAGTGTTTTCTATGGCTGTCATTCTGAAATCTCTGATTTTCTCAACATTAGTTCATTTCATTCTTGTTGACTAGATTTTGGCTGAATTATGGTCTTTGGTCTTAAAATTTAAGTTGTGTGAATTTATTATTTTTATGTCCCTGCTGCAAGGCAAAGGGGGCATTAAGTGTTACCCTCGTCTGTCTGTTCCTCCGTCCGTCCGTCCAAAAATTGGTTTCCATTCTCTAACTTTAGTTTGCCTCAACCAAATGTTATGAAACTTATACACAATGCTTATTTTCATAAAACACAAGTCTAGTTTGAATCTGGTTGGCGTCACTTTTACAGTTCTTTAGTTATATCCCTTTATAATGTACAGGGTTTCCGCTGGTGGTCGCCAATTTCGCATTTTGCTAAAAAATAAAAAATGTGACGATTAAAATTCATTATTGGCGAAGAAATCTAACGGTTCGACCTCGTCCATCTTGTTTACTTTTTTCGGGTTACTCAGACTTTTTCTGTGATCAGACAATAATGGGAATTCACCTCGAACTCGTTACGATTTTGATAGAAAATCACTAATCAGCTGAGTGCAATTTATAGCTATCGGCAACAATGGACTAATTAATAAAGGTGTTGATTATATTGTTAAACGAAATGGTGTGGTTAAATGGCTTCACATGTCACCTTAAGGATTTGTTTTTACAACTTTGATAGAAATAATTTTTTTAAATTGGGTACTTCACAATCGTTTTAGCGACACACGTGTTTGAAGCATAGTTCTATGTCTCAACTTTTTCTTTTAACGATGGCCCAGAAAAGAAAACTGTTGTTAGGAAGAAAAATATTCAAAATTAAGAAAAATCTCTGACTTTAGTTTTTATCCTTCAACTAATCGGGAAGTATCTAATAAACTCATTGAAGATTAATCCTGTGTTCCCCAAAGTCACAAACTATGATTTCAAGATCTATATTTCAATTACAGTATCTTTTAAAAAAGTAAATGTTTGTTATAATTGAGTATTTATTTATTACAATGTAGATCAAAAATAGATATATAGAATTATAGACAACATTGCAACAAATTGAAATTGTTTTTGTTAGAAAGAAGGAAAACTTGAAACAAAAAATATGTTTATGTTAGTTGGCGAAAAAAAATTAAAAGTGGCGAAAAATATATTGTTTTGGCGAAAGAGTTGGCGAAAAAAGAAAATTGACCCAGGGGAAACCCTGAACGTAATATGCATCATCTGTGTCCCATGGACATATTCTTCATTTATGTGTAATGCCTTCAGATTATTAGTACTGGTACTGGTACATTAGTATACTGATGACTTAAAACATGTTATGCATTTGTTAATTAAGTACTGTACACGTATTTATAATTTTCTTGGCATCCAAATTTTTGGATTTTATTAGTCACTTTACTTTTGCACTTCTTTAAAATTATCTTGTATAGTGAATTGGGAGTGTATAATGATTGTTGCATCCATTGAAATCATTCACCTTTCTTTATTTCACATCTAAACTGCTCATAAGACAGTGACTGGATTTAATATAACAATAAAGAGATTTCTGTGGCAATAATATTGTGCACCTCCTATTTTATTTTTTGTTTTGAATTATTTTTGGAGGGTTTCCTATGGCAAAACTTTTACCATTTTTATGCTCACTGCTATTCCTCTTTTTATTTTTTGCTGTTTTATAGGTTGATATGCTTTCTACTATGAATGCTTTTTTCAGGCTATTGAAAGTTTCATGCAAAATTAATAAAATAATACACCATGAAAATAAAACAATGTATTTTACAGTTTTTCCTTCATAGTATGACAAAAATATTGTTTTCTTTATTTTTCGTTGCATATCAGATAACAAATAATGACCATTTTTTTTAACATCAAATTAAAATACCTGATACGTTATAGTAAATGTATGTTCTGTTTTTAGTGCTATATTTGGTGCAGTAAAACGTCCAGGAGATTTTGCTAGTTATTTGTTAGCCATATTTATAGGAAACCTAATGTTCTATACTGTTTATTACACCATAATGAAGGTAAACATTTTATAAGTATTTCCTATAGTATGATTTTGTTTTAAGTGTCATGTGTTGTTCCAGATTATTTATAATCTTGCAACTTACAACAAATAGTGACTGCTATTAAGAAAAACAAGAAAAGAAACGGCCGTTAAAAGCAAATATTAATGCAATGTTTATGTAACAATTTATTTCATTGGCTTATATTTACAGTTGAATCCTCAGTTGACAAGTCTTAACTAAGGAGTGAACCGCCATATGGACTTGCTGAAATTCATAAATGTTCAGTTGATACAATATAATCAAAAGAATGAAACAAAACCTACTATAAAAATGCAACTTTAATTAGAATTCAACCGAATTTGAAGCGTATGAGTAACAAATCACCTTCCGTTTGAAAGTTTACATATGTATGACGTGCGTATGAGTAACAAATGACCTTCCGTTTGAAAGTTTACATATGTATGACGTCATGTTTTGCCATCACATTAATGCTCAAAATTCATTTGTGAAATTTTACAGAATTTTAGTTTTCTTTCAATTTTATAACTATTTCCAAGCTCTAATGTATTATTTTTTTTGTAATGTGTTTTAATAGGAATAACAATACTGTAGTTGAACAGTTGACGCTCCATGTCTCAAGTAAAACTACATTTCGGCCGTCAAATCCCCAAATGACAGCAACATCTCTTCAACTATATTACTGTTATTCCTTGATAGCAAAGTTTATCTTGGCTGTTAAAAGTGTACATTCGAATAAAAGGAGATGCTTCGGTAAACATCCATCAGACAGATACCCATCAACACAATAAAAGACCTAATATAACATGCATTCTGAGAGTATTGCATGGCAATACATAGTCCCCTACCGGTTAAAAATCCATTATACTTGAACACAATGCTAACTTGATCTATAACTTGTCATGGTGTTAACTTTATAACAAATATCAAATCAATATCTTCAACATGATCAAGCATAACAAAAAAAATTGTCGGGTTGTTGTCTCTTTGACATATTCCCCATTTCCATTCTCAATTTTAAAAATGATATTTGAGTGAATTTTCTAAGTCTAAAAAAAGTGTAGAAAACTGATTTGCTGGACTGACGGATGGACACAGACAGACAGACAGACAGACAGACAGACAGACAGACAGACAGACAGACAGACAGACAGACAGACAGACAGACAGACAGACAGACAGACAGACAGACGGACAGAATGCAAACCTAAAGTCACCTTCAACTTCATCGGTAGGGGACTAAAAGCTATATATAAAACTGTTGTTTCACTCCAATGCCCTGTCCAAATTATATATGTCAGTAGAAGAATAAATGTTTCCATGAACATTGCACCAACATAAAAATTCCAAAAAGCCCTTAATTCTGTATTTGCAACTTAGACAAAAATTCACAGTAAGATGAAAAACAATACAATTATATAACAAAAGAACTTCAAAGATACAAAATATACTTTATCATTAACAATAAAAGAAGATGTGGAATAAATTTCAGACAGCAATCCAACAACATAATATTAAATAAGTTCAAAAGGAACATCTTGCACGTAGAAACTAAATGTCTTAACATAAATAAGATACAAGCTGCTTTTGGGAAATCATATATTAATCCTAAATGCAGTTTACAAAATGTTATTGGTTTTATTTTTATTACAAAATATGTATTTTCTTTATTTTTCAGCTAAGGCACAAAGAACGTCTACATCCTTTAGCTATTTTCTTTGTTGCCTGTGCGATACTTTGCTGGATTCCTGCTCTGTATTTTTTCTTTGCTCATCTGACATCCTGGCGGGTAGGTTGAATTCTGCTGGTATTATTGACGAGTTTGTCTATTCTGTATAATTATTGGAAATGATGAAGATTGTTTGACTAATTTGCGTGAGAAATTAAAAAGTATCAGTATGATTGCATTTTATAATTTTTTTTATCATGTCAGTTAAAGAAATCATAGAAGTTAGACATTAATTTAAGTTTTCTGTTTTCTACAATCTCGACACATTAATGACATCAGCAGAACATCATAAAATCAACTGATTATTATTTATACTCTGTATAAACTTGTTTCAGTTAAATCCATCACAGTCTAGAGAAGGGAATCAGAACTGCATGTTGTTTGAGTTTTATGATGCCCATGACATATGGCATTTCCTGTCAGCCATCAGTATGTTCTTTTCTTTTCTTGTAAGTACTCTTTATATTATATTTTGAATTTCCACATTGGAGTATATCCTGTTCTTTGTCAACTTGCTCTTGAAAAACAGCTTTCAGGGGGAGAATACATTTTAGAGAAATTATTTTTACCAGGTTTAACCAGGAACATATATATTGACGGGACTTAACACTACCTCATTATAGCCAATTTTATTGTCAGGTCATAGTTAATAAATGACACAATACGAAAACGGACATGTGTAAAATACGTACATGTACTCGCTATTATCTTAATAATTTCTGATAATATCAATAAAATGTCATTCAGACTAAGTAATAAGTGATGCCAGTGTATCGACCTCATAATCTGTCACTTCAAATTTGTCATAGTCGCATTCATTTCATCACAGAAGGGTACAGAATGCAAACGGGGTAATACAAAAATGGCGCCGCTGGCATTCCCAGTAACCGTGAATTTCACAAACCATTAAAAAACACTTCACATCAAATAAATCACACTTAACTAAACCCCCTCCATATTTAATAAACAACTGACGTTATGTTTATTCGTGTATTTATACTTATCAGGATCATTTGCAAGGTTTGTTTAAAAATAAAAAGAGTGCGAGAAGAAACTTTTTACCTCGGAAAATATTTTAAAAAGAAATTCTACACACACATTTTAGGCTGAACACAACAGAAAAAGAATGTGGTTATATTTCTATGTACCTACATACCAAGAAGAAAGCAGTATAGATAATAAGTGTATTCAGTAAAACCATAGAATCAGTATCATAAGTAAAGATTTTAAACTGTATATCTATAAACATGAATAGGATAAAGTAATCTTGCATATTTATTTAAAGGAAAGGTTTATTCTGTATAAGAAGAAAATTTAGTTCTTACAGAAATTTTTAACCGAATTACTTTGCATATTGTTACAGATACTTTTGACATTAGATGATGATCTATTTTCAACAAGAAGAGACAAGATTCCAGTCTTCTGAAAATCTAAATAAGTCCAAGAAGACATTCTGAAAGCTTGTACATGGCATTGGGATCAGAGATATCTATGATAACATTCCTTTAATAAGCATGTGGCATACACAACTAAACAAAGCAGTGAATCAGTGTACACATGAAGGCAGTTGCTGACTTGTCTAGCGTAGTATGATGACATTTAGGTTGCATTTATATATTCTTGCAGTATTCTGGGCTCCTGGAAAAACATGTGCTTTGCATTGGTAGTGAGTTAGGATACTAGTTTAATTCATGCTAACCCTTGATTTTCTTGATTAAGTGGAAATCAGAATGAACAAGATAGTTTCAAGATGAATTCAGTGACGCTTTCAGTTGTAATACTTAATCTTATAATCATATAACAAAACTAAACATTCCATCATTTTTTCCCTCCAGAACTACATTAATTTGATTCCTATCATTCAATATTACGATTGTCAATTTAAAGAAAGATGCTGTAAATATTTTTTGTCATATTTTTATTAGCTTTAATACTTAGAATTACAAATGATTGTTCTCTTTTACAAAAGGGAAAGCGACTCAGGAAATTTTACCTTTTTTCAATTGGTATTTTTATGCCCCTGCTGTAGCGGTGGGGGCATTAAGTTTTACCCTTGTCCGTCTGTACATACGTACGTACGAACGTACGTCCGTACGTCCCAAAATTGCGTTTCCGTTCTCTAACTTGAGTTTGCCTCAACCAAATGTTATGAAACTTAATTGTGGTCGTATATTGGTATGACGTTGGCGTCGTCGTCGTCATCGTCTGGCGTCGTCGTCCGGCGTCGTCGTCCGAATACATATTGGTTTTCGCACTCTAACTTTAGTTTAAGTGAATGGATCTTTTTGAAATTTGACCATAAGGTTAAATACCACAAAAGGAAGGTTGGGATTGATTTTGGGGTTTATGGTACCAACAGTTAAGGAATTAGGGGCCAAAAATGAGCATTTTCTAGTTTCCAGACAATAACTGTGGAACGGTGTATGGATCTCTCTGAAATTATACTACAAGTTTCCATACCACAAAGGGATGGTTAGGATTTGCTTTGGGGGGTTATGGCTCAAACCGTTTAGGAATTAGGGGCAAAAAAGGGGGAAAAACAAGGTTGTCCTGGTTAATGGACAAATACTTTAGTACAAAACATAATTTAAAGCAGTGTAAGGGAGATAAATCAAATACATCATTGAAATTATCTCCCTTACACTGCTTTTAAATTATGTATAAAGTAATGGTTAATGAACAATAAAGATAATCTAAAACAGTGTAAGGGAGGTAATCCAAATACAACGTTTTGGTTACTTCCCTTACACTGCTTTTAAATTATGTTTAAAGAAATGCATATTTATAAAGGAAGACCAGTAAAAATATCTGCAAATGTTTTCATCTTTTTTTTTTACAAAAAAATCCATATGAAAGATTTGACACTATATTTTTATTAATTCTATTATAAAATAGATTAAGTTAGCACTATGGTAAATTTAAATGGGTAATTATGGTTGCCAACTCCATTGGAAATTTGAATTGAGATTATGACCATATCTTGAGGGAAAGAATTTTTTTGGTGGAAAAAGGGAGGGGGGGGGGGATAAAAAGAAATTGTGGGGGGCCAATTTTTTCTCATTTCAGATTTCAGAAATTAAAAAGAATTATTCTTCAAATATTATTTTTTTTTCAAATTTCAAATATTGAAAAATTTCAAGAAGTAATCTTTAATTGCACAGTATGGCGCATTAGATTTGTAAAATCTTTGATCACATTTATTTATTTGTTATGCCGAATCTAACAGTGTATTTAGATTTTTAATTTTGGGTCCAGTTTTCAAATTGGTCTACATTAATGTCCAAAGGGTCCAAAATTAAACTTTGTTTGATTTTAGCAAAAATTGAATATATGAGATTCTTTGATATGCTGAATCTAAACATGTATTTAGATTTTTGATTTTTGGCCCAGTTTTCAAGTTGGTCCAAATTGGGGTCCAAAATTAAACTTTGTTTGATTTCAACAAAAATTGAATATATGGGGTTCTTTGATATGCTGAATCTAACCATGTATTTAGATTTTTTATTTGTGGACCCCGTTATCTAATTGGTTCATATTGAGGTCAAAAGGGTCCAAAATTAAACTTTGTTTGATTTCATCTAAAATTGAATTATTGGGGTTCTTTGATATTCCAAATCTAACCGTGTATTTAGGTTTTTAATTTTGGGTCCTGTTTTTTAAATTGGTCTACATTGAGGTCCAAAGGGTCCAAAATTAAACTTAGTTTGATTTTGACAAAAATTGAATTCTTGGGGTTCTTTGATTTGCTGAATCTAAACATGTGTTTAGATTTTTGATTATGGGCCCAGTTTTCAAGTTGGTCCAAGATAGGGTCCAGTATTTAAACTTTGTTTGATTTCAACAAAAATTGAATATATGGGGTTCTTTGATATGCTGAATCTAAACATGTATTTAGATTTTTGATTATGGGCCCAGTTTTCAAGTTGGTCCAAATTGGGGTCCAAAATTAAACTTTGTTTGATTTCAACAAAAATTGAATATATGAGGTTCTTTGATATGCTGAATCTAACCATGTATTTAGATTTTTTATTTGTAGGCCCCGCTATCAAATTGGTTCATATTGAGGTCAAAAGGGTCCAAAATTAAACTTTGTTTGATTTCATCGAAAATTGAATTATTGGGGTTCTTTGATATGCCAAATCTAACCGTATTTTTAATTTGGGTCCCGTTTTTTAAATTGGTCTTCATTGAGGTCCAAAGGGTCCAAAATTAAACTTAGTTTGATTTTAACAAAAATTGAATTCTTGGGGTTCTTTGATATGCTGAATCTAAACTTGTGTTTAGATTTTTGATTATGGGCCCAGTTTTCAAGTTGGTCCAAGTTGGGGTCCAAAATTAAACTTTTTTTGATTTCAACAAAAATTGAATATATGGGGTTCTTTGATATGCTGAATCTAACCATGAATTTAGATTTTTTATTTGTGGGCCCCGCTATCAAATTGCTTCATATTGAGGTCAAAAGGGTCCAAAATTAAACTTTGTTTGATTTCATCAAAAATTGAATTATTGGGGTTCTTTGATATTCCAAATCTAACCGTGTATTTAGATTTTTAATTTTAAGTCCCGTTTTTTAAATTGGTCTACATTAAGGTCCAAAGGGTCCAAAATTAAACTTAGTTTGATTTTAGTAAAAATTGAATTCTTGGGGTTCTTTGATATGCTGAATCTAAACATGTGTTTAGATTTTTGATTATGGGCCCAGTTTTCAAGTTTGTCCAAGTTGGGGTCCAAAATTAAACTTTGTTTGATTTTAACAAAAATTGAATATATGGGGTTCTTTGATATGCTGAATCTAACCATGTATTTTGATTTTGGACATTGGACCATAATAGGTAAATTAAAAAAATTCAAGTTCTTAGACCACATTCTTTCTGTGTCAGAAACCTATGCTGTGTCAAATATTTAATAACAATCCAAATTCAGAGCTGTATCAAGCTTGAATGTTGTGTCCATACTTGCCCCAACTGTTCAGGGTTCGACCTCTGCGGTCGTATCAAGCTGCGCCCCAGCGAAGCATTTTATTAAAATTGGAGTTATCTTCCTTTGTCCATGATTATAGTTGAATCAACTACAACCAATGCTTTATACAATACAATGTTTAATTTTGACTTCCACTGATAAAACACAGATCAAGTTGAATTTGGGTAGTGTCACTTTAACCATTATTGAGTTATGCCCCTTTATTAATCGAAAGATTGCAAAATTTTTAGTTTCCATTCTGTAACTTAAGTTTGCCCCAACCAAACATTATGAAATCTATACACAATATTCATTACCACAAAACTAAGATCAAGTACAAATTTTTTGTTTCCGTTTTCTAACTTTAGTTTGCCTCAACCAAATGTTATGAAACTTATACACAATGCTTATTACTACATAATACAGATTAAGTGCCAAATTTGGTGGCGACACTTTTACCATTCTTGAGTTATGTCCCTTTATAAACATAAAAACTGCTGAATTTTTCGTTTCTGTTCTCTAACTTTGGTTTGTCTTAACCAAATGTTATAAAACTTATACACAACCGTTCTAGAGTTATGCGTGTTTACAAATAGAAAAATTGCTGAATTTTTAGTTTCTGTGCTCTACTTAAGTTAGCCTCAACCAAATGTTATGAGAAATACACACAATGCTTATTACCACAAAACTCAGATCAAGTTCAAATTTGGGTAGTGTCACTTTTACCGTTCTTCAGTTATGTCCCTTTATAACTACATGATATGCAAGCGGGGGCATCATCTGTGTCCACATGTGGACACTATCCACATTTTTTGTATTTTGATCCGCACAAATAATTTTGGCTGTTGAGGGCAATCAACATCAAACACAACTATCCCATTACTAAAATTTGAAATTAGATGAAGTTTAATAAATAAATAGGAAGAACCTTTCTATTAAGCGTCATGGTCTGTCAAACATCATTTAATATTACATTTGTGGTATCAATCATGGTTGATTTGATAAACCTGTCCTGAATAATCTACCTGAATCAGTGTTACCATTATAAAACATTTTCTCTAATTTTTGTGCTATTTTCACATTTCTTGACCGGTGTGAGAAAAATATTTCTCCTCACTAGTGAAAAATTTGTTCTCGGCAAATGATTGGGCGAAATTTAATTATGACGTCAAATTTTCTTGGTTTCTTCTGAATTTTCCTATTGTGACGTCATGAAAAAAGGCGACCATGCCTGTTGACGTCACATATAAAGAACACAACTTTCTGCAAATCCTTGAAAAGGAAGGATAAGAATCATTAGAGAAACAGATTCCACCACTATAACTCGTGTATTACGATATTTCTCCACTCTCAACAGTTAAATTTAAAGTATTTAAAAAGCTCGGCAAGCCTCGCGCTTTAAATATTAAAATTTAACTGTCTCGAGTGGAGAAATATCGTAACACACTTGTTGCAGTGGTGAAATCTATATTTCTTACATTTTGTTAAAAATACATCAAATGACCTTTTCTGCATATGGATGTTGGATTTGAACCACTGAATTATTGTTTCACAAAACTTGTTTAGATTGAATCAGAGTTTCGCAGGTGAGTCATACAGGATTTAAGAGCCTTTACTTCAATTAGAAATAACATGTACAAACATAAAGTGATATGAACCTCACAGCATTGCCACAGTGTGTCAACATAACTTATCATAAAATGACAACATAATTATTTTTTTAAATCTCTATGAGTTTGTTATATATGACATATACACTTTGTATATCTGTCCTTCTGTCTGATATTTTTGGATTAG